TCCCCCGTTAGAACATTGCATTATACATGCCATAGCTCCTCCAGCTCTGCAGGTGAGCGCAAGAGAAGCCATTTTCTATGTTGCAGGGGTGATGTCATTGAAGGGAGGTAGAAGATGGGAAATTCTGAACCTCCATTCTCTTTTCCTGAATCAAGGCAAACGGTCTTATTCATATAAGTGAGCAATCAACTGCCCTGAACACTACAACTGGAGTCTTGATCTTGTATCCCAAAACTTTCCCATTAACACTGACTAACGACTTAATATGTAGGAAATGTTTCAACCCCGCTGTGTATAAACTCCTACACGACGGCCTTCTCTAAAAGCATCCTCGATGAATATGACCTCTCTGAGCTTCTCAGACCATTCATCTTAGTACACACGTATTACTGTCCGTTTAGATGATCAAACTTAACGTAAATTGGAACTGTAGGATAATGTTACAACTCGACTCTGGGATGAGAAGAGTGGTCAAAATTGTGTGCTTCCCTTGAGAATAATAACAGGCTCTATTCTGATTTAATATATTTATTTATTTATTTAGTTATTTATTTATTTATATATATGCAAGAAGGTACATTGGGATTGTGAGGATACATAGCATAGTAATTACATTCTTGTAAAGCCACTAGTACGCGCAGCGTTTCGGGCAGGTCTTTAATCTAAGAAAATTTTAAGTAGGTAAATACTTGCAAAATTTTTAAAAATGATAACAGCTACATAGCAAGAAAAAAAATACAAGATGTGAGAAAAATTGTAGGTATATTAAAGCACGTAGGTAGCTCAGATTGATTGCAATGACAGCTTGAATGGTAGTTTAACAAAAAATTAGTAGGCACAATACAGCATATGGCTAGCACATAAAAGAAGACAGCAATGAACACAATAATAAAGTTATTTGGATTAAGTACATAAAGATTGGGAGATTGGGTAACACTAGATACAGAGCAAATTTAAAGCTCAGTGTAGGAAACTACGAAGTTGAAATTAGGTACTTTTTGTTTTTGTTTTTAAATGAGGCAAAAGTTTGACAGCTTTTCAATTCACTTGGGAGTGAGTTCGATAGACTAGGTCCCTTAATTTGCATAGAGTGTTTACAAGATTAAGTTTGACCCTGGGGATATCAAAGAGATATTTATTTCTGGTGTGGTGATAATGGGTCCTATTATATTTGTCCAGGGAGAGTTTCAGAGCAGGATTTGCATTTAAGAACAGGGTTTTGTAAATGTAGTTGACACAAGAAAATGTGTGGACGGAGTTAATATTTAGCAAGTTAAGGGATTTAAACAAGGGAGCTGAGTGTTGTCTTAAAGCAGAGTTTGTTATTATTCTGATAGCAGATTTTTCCTGGGTGATGATAGGCTTAAGGTGGTTTGCAGTGGTAGACCCCCATGCACAGATACCATAATTAAGATAGGGACAAATTAGTGCATAATATAGTGAGAGGAGAGCAGAGTTAGGAACATAATATCTTATTTGGGAGAGTATACCAACTGTTTTAGAGACTTTCTTAGTTATGTGTTGAATGTGGGTGCTGAAGTTGAGTCTCTTGTCTAGGAATAGGCCAAAAAACTTTCCATCATTTTTATTACTGATGCTAATGTTGTCTGTCTGTAGCTGAATTGCATTCGATGATTTGCTTCCAAATAAGATGTAGTAGGTCTTTTCTATATAAAGTGTTAGTTTGTTAGTTGACATCCATAAGTGGACTTTTTTTAGTTCATTATTCAGAACATTATTTAGTGTATGTGGGTTGGGGTCTGAATAGATGAGGGTAGCATCATCAGCAAACAATATAGGTTTAAGAATGTTAGCATGCAGAATATTAGCATAATAATATTAACATGCCGCCCCAAACCTTACAACCAAAACATTTAGGCTCCAGGATGTGAATATCTAGAAAATAGCCAACCGAGGTCAACCAGGCGAACAAACCTGTTTAAGGCATTGGTGTAGAACTACAGGTCATTATGAACCAAGAGACTGGAGCCTTGATAAGTGGCCTTAAAAAAACAAATTATTAAGCTAACCGGTAGGTAGAAATTCATGCTGAGGCAAACCTGATGACAGAAGCAGCGTAACATAAAGCGACAACAGCAGGTGATGCGTACAACAGCAGCAATGACAGAAGAAGCAACAATAACAGAACTAATAGCAACAAAAACAGGAAAGCGAAACATCATTAACATCATCATAGCGAGCAAAGAACTGTTAATATGTCATTTATGTTTTGATGTGAGTGGGGTTTTCGCCCGAATCCTCCCTTTCCCTTCCTCCTGCCCTCCCTACACCTAAAGGTATCTCTCTACAATGAGAGAGAGAGAGAGAGAGAGCAACTGGTCTATATCCCACTTCACGACCTTACCATGCACCACGGCTGCCTTACCATAAAACTGTTAGTCTGACCAGCAGGTCCCACCCCAACTACCTGTTAAAAGAAGTGACTAACAAGAAATAGTAATGTCCAGTTCCTCCACATTATACCTAACACCGTTCCTGCGGTCGCCAGCTGTTTCCAGGTCGACCCAGAGATGCTGACGTCCTCTGATGCTTAACATATATACCTGGTTGATACCTGGTTGATGGGGTTCTGGGAGTTCTTCTACTCCCCAAGCCCGGCCCGAGGCCAGGCTCGACTTGTGAGAGTTTATATAAATAAAAATAATAATAAAGACCCAATATATGTGTAAGTGTATTAAAATTTATCTTTAATTCACTCACATATGTATATTGGGTCTTTCCTTCACCTTCATTCAAGCACTACGGCATTGTAGTATGTTTCTCAATAATAATGATAATAATAATAGTGAATAACAGAAAGATTGTATTGCACTAATATGTATTTATTAATGATTTTATCCATACTGATGCGTTGATTCTCGACATATCAGGGGGTTTGTTTTGTTTGTTGATAACTAATAAAGTTACACTCGCTGGAGAGGCACCACATGCCATGAAATACATAAAACAGACGGATGTACAAATATACATGTACATCCGTGTGTGGGTGTATGTGTATACAGTATATTATAAATAAACTGCAAAGAATAGCCGGGATAAAAACATTTCATTCATTAGTAAATGTGTGTTAATTATCTGAATTTATATTGATTCTTTGGTGCACTGTTCAGAGTGACACTGAGCCTTGAGTACAATTTATATCTACGAGTACTATATGAAACATTTACAAAGTACACCATGTAATTCTCACAAGTACTACATGTAAATCTTAAAAGTACTACATGTAATACTTACAAGTACTACATGTAATATATTGCTATTGGATTTGCTCCTTCTCTTGATAACTGTTATTAGAATTATGATTAGTTATTATTAAACTTATCTTCACTTCGTGTAGGGAATTTCCTCTAACAACCAATTGTGGCATTTATGTGGACTATAGGGTAAAGTAATCATATTAATAATGCATCTTACTGTAATGTTAATGTAACCCCCACTGTAGTAATATTTATTGAAGCTGTCACAGCAGATCCTCTTTATAAAGTTTAAAGTCGAAATAATACAAAGAAATATTCGCCATATCTTTCCTTACAATGACGTTTTCCCTTCTGCAGATGAGAAACTTCCCTTGAAGCATCTTCTCTGTCTCTCTAGATTGTGTATCTCCTTTCTCTATTAGTCTCATCTAGGATTACTGTATCCAAGATCTTTTAACACTATACAGAAATCTGCAATCTGCCAATCCTGTTTCTTCTTATATGATTTATATCGCACAATAATGGAATTCTTCAAAGTCATTGAGGCAGGATGTTACCCATGACAAAGCTGGTGTTTCGCTATTGAACTCTTTTTTTTTTTGTTACCAAATTTTCTTCCTGGTGTGATAGAGAACGTGAGTCAACACGCAATTCAGCTGCTTGCATGCAATGTAAGTTGTGGTGCAGTATTTTTGTGTCAGCAGAAGAGAGTCGCTGGGGAGGTGGGGCCAAGGAGACTGTGCAAGTTTTGGGGAAATAAAAGTCAAAAGACATTGTCCACTTCAAGCGTGCGATGGCCCAGATTAATGATCAAAATATTGGATTTAGCAGTTTTGCTGTCTCTGAACACGTTCCTGACGTTTCCTTGTGTAAGAGCTCTACTGTTTCTTAGATATCCAGTAACACATTAATTTTAAGGTTGTTAGAGTGAATATACGAGTCGTTTATCACTGGTGAAGCCATTAGCCCGTTCAGAGTCAAACGTCCGGTGGGTGTTTTGTTGACTATGACAAGCCGCCGGATCACGGTGAGTCCTTCCTTGTGTGTTTTTCCTAGTAAGTTTGTTTGCACGTCAAATTCCTTCATTCTCATCAAGTTTTTTGCGTTCACATCAAGCTTTTGCACTGGCATGAAACGTATGAGTTATTAAGATTTTGAGTTAAGATCGGGCTTTTGCGGTGATATGAAAATCTTGCGATCATAGATAGAGATTACGATTACATGAAACTCTGCGTCCATATTACAGTCGTTCATTTACATCAATTTACATCAACCTCTTGCACTTACTTAAACACTAACATTCACATCTCATCCATGCGCTTGCGTCCAAGTCTTCACTCTAACTGCACCGTAACTTTCACAATATTGCAAAGCCAATTGATCTAATTTCAAGGAATGTTGCACACGCTATAACGGTCTGGTAAACAATGTGAGTTCACAGAGAACGCTAAATTCCAGCATGAGGTGCGTTCACAAGTTCCAAAAGAGGGTTCAAGACGTCTCCGAGTCAGTGATTGATGAGATGAGAAGCGGACCAGTTACTCATTAATTAAAGGGATATGATGAGTCTCTCAGTGACTCAGGCATACATGTATTATATCTGGCTTTTATTCATACATGATGCCATTTATTCATACTTTTTATAAATGCATATTATCATATGTATTTGTTCATACATGACTTCATATGATTAAAAAACAGGGGTATACATTTAGGAAAAATATTATCAATAAAACAAAGGGGGTATACATATGTAATTATATGGTCAATAAGACAAGAGTATACATTGGGAAGGCCATTTTATTTACAAAGCGATGTTAAACACGGAAGATATGTTATTTTGTAATTTCCCAAGATAATACTGCTAAAAATACAAGAAATGTATATTTCTTCGTACATTAAAATGTAGAACGCTTAAAATCATCATTGGTGCAGTGATATAAAAAATAACCATTGAATGTGAGATGTTTGATTATTTGAACACAATAGTGAAGACGAAAATATAAAAGTATGGGTAAATATAAAAGTATGGGTGAAAGACTTAGGATATGTAACTATGTACATATGTGAGCTGTGACGTGGAAGCGACAAACTACATGACTACACTATACACTTTCCAAGTTGAGCTCAGACTTTGCAGCATACAAATCTCATCGTCTTGTAACGTGTAAAAATATTTAGTCAGATAATGTAAGGTAATTATGAGGCGGAAAGCGCTTAGCCAGTATGACACTATAGCATGTGGAAGAAGTATGAGGATAAGGAGCTGAGGTATGAGTATAAGAAGACAAGATATGAGTTTAGATAACATCAGAAATGGTACTCAACCACTTGGACGATCGGGGATTGAACGCGACCCTGCATGAAACCATACCGTCCCTCTACTTATCATTCTTAACCAACTGACAATTTTCTAGCCAGTTAAACTATTATTTCAGCCTCATCTGTAAACTTGGAATCTCGCCATATATCAAGGAATCACAGAGAGTTATTAGTAAAAGACAAATAAACGCGGAGACTGGGAGAGAGATATCAAGTAAAAATTAGCAAATTGGTAAAGTGAATCATGGCACTCGAGAGAGAAGGTTGGGAGGTGCTCTCGTATCCGGGGAGTCGGGCCTGTTGCTGTGATAAACAGAAAGATGTTTTAAAGGGTGTGGGAAATGCGTGCAATCTACGGAATGATCGGAGAAATGAGTGATTTGTTTATTGCAACAAGTGCATTTAATTTCGGTGAAATGTGTGGCAAACTATAGAGAACCCTGAGAAATGAATAATTAGTAGTGATAACTCCTTAGGACTGGCCACTCGGACATACAAAAACAATAAATATCATTCATAACAGTACAAAAAATAAATAAAAAATGTTAGTAATTCATGTTGCAATGCTGTACACCAGTGCTGGCCAGCAGCAGGTAGCGACAGTCTCAATATTATTGAGTCTTTAGCAGATGGTGTTCCATATAAGGAACTTACAAAATATTCACACACAGAGTACCATATTCAACGCACAAAAATGACCTGAATACGGCAACCTGTATTTCAAATTGTCTCTTATGAAAGTCGATTAACTAAGTTCCATTTTGTTCGTCAATCTGCCGGGTTCATCCGTTGTCTTTAAGTGGCTTTAGAGGAGCTTCGGAGCGACACACCTAAACTTCTTGCACTTTCCGGTTTCGTAGCCAGACTGGGCAGCCTTCTTGAAGATGGCTAAGTTGCCCTTCATACCCTCTGGGACCAGGGGCTCAACCAGGCTGGAAAGCAAGAATAAAATACTGTAATTGGCAATCATTAAGTGAGTTGGTGATCATGAGACAGATCGGTGTAATAGTTTGTTACCTGGTGAAAATATATATATATATATATATATATATATATATATATATATATATATATATATATCTCTGGGATAGCCACTAGGCAATAAGGAGAACAGCGACTTCATTCCAGCCGTACGAGTCGGAGGCCTCAAACGGAAGTAAATACCTTGATGGAGGAAGAAGAACAACACCCGGAATCCAATCCCGGGCAATTACCCGAAAATAGCAGCTATTGCTCCATGATTGGTGCATTTGCTGGGGTTTACAGCGGCCGACGGAACCGTGAGGCGAGACGGGAAAATAGAAGGAAAAAAAAAACAAGAATAACCTCTCGAGGCGACCGCGAATTTCTCAAGTTCAAGAAGAGTAAAAGTTTCGTGAGTTAACCGACAAGTTTTTTGCTGGGGGGTAGGGGGGAGTGGTTCCGTACCCCGACCAACCGGTTACGGGGGTCACTCGTTACACTGTTGGTGCTTGTGTGTGTGTGTGCAGAAGGCCGCTTTCTATCCGGGGCTTACGACCAGCTGTTACGTAAGGGCCGCTTCCGGGGTAAGTAAAGCCCGATTAACTTACACGATGATGGCCGAGATGGCTACGCCAGTTTTTTCTGACGTAATGAAAGTCAAGGTACAGCAGATCGAGCCCCGGTAGGTTACATGACGGCTTTGAGCTTAAGTGTCATCGATAGAATAAATATTTACAAAACGTGTGTTTCATATTACGCAATGTTTACGAACTGATGATTTACGTGAAAATAAAATTGGCTAAACATTAATTTTAACCAACCTCTATAATAACTGAAAGGACTAGAAGTCTTCGCTGATAATGGATTGAAATTGCACAGGCAGAACCAGGAGCAAGAGAACTAGTTATTATACACGAGCTGTTTTAGTAAACACAATTGTGGATCACAGCGCCTCGGTGTACCGTGCCTGCTGGCGTGTGGTGGTTCAGCCTCGGGGAGGTTATTCACGCAGAGAACATGTAAACAAGACCATCAGCAGCTGCTGCCTCACTCAAGCCATGAATGTGTGTCACGACAGTAGGTGAAAAACTGTGTCGTCGGGCCAAGCCGGGCCAAGCCCCCCTGCTGGTAGGTAAATTACCACCAGAAGGAACGGATAACATCTTTTGATTATTGATGCCTACGGAGACGCCAGTGAATTTTCTGGTCGGAGTGAGTTGTACGTAGATAAAAATGTTTGCGATAGACCGACTAACGACGGGAGAGGAAAAACGATGTCATTCGTACTTCACGACTCTCTCTCCACCGCCAAGAAAGCTTGGAAAACAGGAGTGTGAGACATAATAACAGTGGTCACCGCAACGGCCTGGTTCCGTGAGGGTGATGGAGAGATGACGAGGCCGCCAGTTTCTCATGCGACTCTCGCTGGGATTGTTTTCGGCAGCCGCTCATCTGCAGTTAATGGAGCGCAGAGATATGATGAGTAACATACGACTCGCGATATACCCACACACACACACTAGACCGTCCGTGACACTCCCAGACACCGGTCCGTTCGTAGCCAATCCTCAGACGCTGATCCGTGCGTGGATTTCCCAGCCTCTTAACAGTATCCACAGACATTGGTCACCATTTGGTAAATTGTGACACTCGTGGCCCCCTTAGAACGTGACAGCTCGGAAACACCGGTCCGTGAGTGGTGGCCCAGACACTGGAGTTATCATGGTAGCACCAGACACTGGCGTTATCATGGTAGCACCAGACACTGGCGTTATCATGGTAGCACCAGACACTGGCGTTATCATGGTAACACCAGACACTAGCGTTATCATGGTAGCACCAGACACTGGAGTTATCATGGTAGCACCAGACACTTGCCTTATCATGGTACCACTAGACACTTGCCTTATCATGGTACCACTAGACAGCGGCACGTTCGCGCCACTCCCTAAGCACCACGTATCCAAAGAAAGAAAGAGATCGCAGAGTAAATATTTGGAACATGCTGAGAAAAGAAAAAACACACGTATAGCTAAGCATACATAACTGCACGGGTCAATCATCGGGCAGTGTGTGTGTGTGTGTGTGTGTGTGTGTGTGTGTGTGTGTGTGTGTGTGTGTGTGTGTGTGTGTGTGTGTGTGTGTGTGTGTGTGTAGAGAGAGACAGCTGATGTGCAAACAAGACATGGAAACAGAAGAGAGAAATGGTGTTTATGGGCCAGCTGTTGCCGACTGCCATATGGAAAACGGTAGCCAGTGGCCGCTGGAGCACTGATTTTCTCACGCTCTACAACCCACACTTCAAGCTCGAAGGAAACTATCAGGGGGAAAGCGCCAAGCCATTACGACTGTATAGCAGTGGGAAGGGGTCAGGATAAGGATCTGGGATGGGACGGGGGAAAGGAATGGTGCCCAACCACTTGGACGGTCGGGGATTCGACGCCATCCTGCACTAAAGCGAGACTGGCATTCTACCATCCAGCCCAAGTGGTTGGGTCGAAGCTTAAGTGTTTTCTGCGCTTTTTATCAATCCTGCGACTTATTCTAGAGGCTGTTGCAGCTTTAAGCAATAACGGAGTTACTTTTGTATAACCCAAAAAAGAACATAAAAGCCGTCTAAAGTGATTTCCTTCTTATGAAAACATCTAAAATAACTATATTTACTGTTGTGGGGTGACAGTTATGAGGTAAGCTCGGGAAGAACTCTCCGTCACCTGCGGGGTTTACATCACAACACGTGCAAGGCTCTACGGTAAACCACAAGACAGTTACACGTACGGTTGCCTGTACAAAAGGAAATCTAACGAAAGAAATCCTTGCCTATAACCAGATCGTCATCATGAATGGGTAATTTTTCAAGAGAAAACTCTTTTCCTATAGGAACGCTCTCATCATGAACGATTATCAAGTGATATTCGATCAAGAGAAACCTCTGCCTATTAGGACACAATCCTGGGGAGGTCTGTCCTATAGGAACTCATCAAGACAAGAATCCTCTCCTATAAGATTACCTTTAACAGTATACATTTCCTACCAGTAGCTCCACACGGTGAGGGAAACCCTGAGAGGTCATCGCATCAGAACTTGCTGGTCACTGGCGCAAACTTTGCGAGTGTCTTAACAGGTTACCTGGTGAAGGACCTCTCGTCCCGTCTCGATTACCGACAGTAAACGGATGACGCAATGCTGCGTCATGCCCGGACTAAAGTGTTATGGAGCTTTTTGGTTAGTGTTTTTATTAGATCAAGAAATAAATGATAATTCAACCCTAATGTTGTTGTAGAAACAAAAGTGAGCAAATTATACATTACAATATAGAGTAAGATTGTCATACATAAGGAAATTAGGGTGACCTTTGATTTTTGCTAACAACGGAGGTTATACACACACACAAGACTAAGACAGAGCTTAAGACAGAGGAGGACTGTTTGAGGCTCCAAGAAGACGTGGACAAACTGAAGGAATGGTCGAACAAATGGTTGTTAGAGTTTAACCCAAGCAAATGTAATGTAATGAAGATAAGTGTAGTGAGCAGGAGACCATATACAAGGTATCATTTGGGAGATGAAATTCTTCAAGAATTAGAGAGAGAGAAAGATTTGGGGGTTGATACCCCGCCAGACCTGTTCCTTGAAGCCCATATCAAGAGGATAACATCAGCGGCATATACCAAGCTGGCCAACATAAGAACGGCCTTTAGAAACTTGTGTAAGGAATCATTTCGAACTTTGTATACCACATGTGTCAGACCAATCCTGGAGTATGCAGTTCCAGCATGGAGTCCATATCATGTCAAGCATAAGACTAAACAGGAAAAGGCTCAAAGGTTTGATACCAGACTAGTACCCGAGCTGAGGGGTGTGAGATACGAGGAGAGGACTACGGGAACTAAACCTCCTATCGCTGGAAGAAAGAAGAGTTAGGGACAAGATTCTCAGAGGAATTTATAGAAGGTACATAAAGACAATTTATTTAACACAGGGGGAACACCCACAAGGAGATCCAGGTGGAAACTGAGAACCCAGATGAGCCATAGAGATTTTGGAAAGACATTTTTAGCTTCAGAGTAGTTAAAAAAATGAAATGCGATGTGATGGATGCAAACTCAATACATAGTTTCAAATGTAGACATGATACACACTCCACCTAGCTTAGGGAGAGCCAGGTGGTGTGTGTGTCTAGCCTGAGGGACAGGTGGTGTGTGTGTGTGTGTGGGGCCGGGACAGCCAGGTAATAAGCACAAAAACACTTTTGTTTGTCTCCTCACCCAACTTATCTTCCCTATCCAAGTAGGTAATTAACCCCCTAACCTCCCACCACTCTAGTGCTACCGTTTGTGGGAGGAAGGAGGGAAGATGCATGCGTAGGCCTACTGGTGATCATAAACCTAACTCTCAAGGTCCTGGGTTCAACTCCTATACTGGACGGAAACGTTTGCCATGTTACCTCTCTTCTGATGCTTCTAATCACCAAGCAGTCCATTGGTCCTTATGTACCCCTAGAGAATTGTAGGTTAGTACTAGGCCTAAAGCGAGCTTGATAATTGAATTTGACTTGCCTATGAACTTAGAGAAATAACAAGGCGTTGTTGAGCGTTGCGAGGGGAAATGGTTAGATAATTCTGTTCCTTAAATAATGTATTAATGGACTGAATTGTTATTATAAGACTCATTACTGCTGTATTCACTGGCGAGTATTCCACTGAAACGCAAATTCAACAGATAACCTATAAAATTACAGGAATTGGCAATTTAAAGCTGTTTAGCGACTCAACTCGGTGAGTTAGCTATGACTCACCCTCCCTGGTGAATAGGTCAATGTCTCATCCTGACTCAGGAGTCAGAGAGCTCATCCTTGGGTATGAGTCAATGACCTATCCTGGTGCTCGCCAAGCGGATGTATGAGTGAAAAAGAGAGTTCGAGTTAGAGAGAGAGAGAGAGAGAGAGAGAGAGAGAGAGAGAGAGAGAGAGAGAGAGAGAGAGAGAGAGAGAGAGAGAGAGAGAGAGAGAGAGAGATATGTGCTTAATCATAAGATTAAGAAGCAGAAACTACGCTCACAGAGGCAATACCAATGCAGTACACACTGGCGCTCCACATCACATAACCAGACGCCACTAGAGCGATGAACCTCAGGTAATTCATTCCCAGAGAGAGAGAGCGTCTTGCTCATCCAGTACCAGACTCTCCGGGAATCTCAACTCGATCAAACATCATCAATAAATACGAAGATAATTTGTTACGTTATAACCAACCAATCAAAAAAAAGTCTACCATTAAGGACTAGAAATGAACACACACTTGAGGATATACAGCGAGAGATATATACACCGATATTAGTATGCTTCGACAGGACAGCAGCCTCGTATTATCTGTGTCACATGCCACCTGAATGTAACTAGCCTTCAGTGTGCCAGTGAATCCCGGTTTGGAATTACAAGCGAGTCCTTCCCCGTCGTGTTATACCGTCACGTCTTACTGACCTCAAAAAATGAAACTGGGTGCTAAATGACATGATAACGTATCTCAAGGGACAATTAGTTGTTGAATTGGATTGCTAATTTACAAGCAAAGGCAGGTTACCCATGCAGAGTACAAGGATCTCAGTTATTTAACCTGTCAGTTGGCGCTTGTATAATTCATATCCTGACTTTAACGTGAGTGACAATTCGTATTTCAACTATTGTCTCGGAATGAGAATTTATCGTCATATAAGTAGGCTGTTAGTGCCTGGAGCAGACATGTTGGGATATATGTGAGGTTTTCGTGAAGCAAGTAAGAAACGAGACCAGAAATACTTGCAATTATTGTTAAATATATGAAGCCAATATATATATATATATATATATATATATATATATATATATATATATATATATATGTGTGTGTGTGTGTGTGTGTGTGTGTGTGTGTGTGTGTGTGTGTGTGTGTGTGTGTGTGTGTGTGTGTGTGTGTGTGTGTGTGTGTGTGTGTGTTTGTGTGTGTGTGTGTGTTTGTGTGTAATATGCCATAATACACACATATAACAAAATATTTAATTTAAATTTATGTTTTTAAGAGTCAGCGGCATCAACCAGCAAGTAACATAAAGTGTGCATGCCTATGGTTGAAAGACTTATCCTAATAAAGTAGGTAAACTGCCTCAAATCTAATGGATTAGTAATATTAAAAAAATATATAATTTGCTAATTCATAAATTAGTTTAGAAATATTGCTAAATTCCCCTGTCATCGGCAGCACAGTTCGTGTGGTGTTATGTCTGAGTGACAGCTGTAGTCATGTGACTCGGTCACAGTCATGACCGAGTGACGACTGTAGTCACCACAGCTATGACCGAGTAACGACTGTAGTCACCACAGCTATGACCGAGTAACGTCTGTAGTCACCACAGCTATGACCGAGTAACGACTGTAGTCACCACAGCTATGACCGAGTAACGTCTGTAGTCACCACCACAGCTATGACCGAGTAACGACTGTAGTCACCACAGCTATGACCGAGTAACGACTGTAGTCACCACAGCTATGACCGAGTAACGTCTGTAGTCACCACAGCTATGACCGAGTAACGACTGTAGTCACCACAGCTATGACCGAGTAACGTCTGTAGTCACCACAGCTATGACCGAGTAACGACTGTAGTCACCACAGCTATGACCGAGTAACGACTGTAGTCACCACAGCTATGACCGAGTAACGTCTGTAGTCACCACAGCTATGACCGAGTAACGACTGTAGTCACCACAGCTATGACCGAGTAACGTCTGTAGTCACCACAGCTATGACCGAGTAACGACTGTAGTCACCACAGCTATGACCGAGTAACGTCTGTAGTCACCACAGCTATGACCGAGTAACGTCTGTAGTCACCACAGCTATGACCGAGTAACGTCTGTAGTCACCACAGCTATGACCGAGTAACGTCTGTAGTCACCACAGCTATGACCGAGTAACGACTGTAGTCACCACACAGTCATGACCGAGTAATAACTGAAGTCACCACGCCCTGGTCGTGAGGGACAACAGTCCTACACAACAGGACCCGAGGACTATATAAGCTATAACAAAACTAATTTAGTTACTCAAACCCGCTATAAACACAGGACACCTGACTTTACATTTTACTATGTAAATGTATAAGACTTTGATAATTTGTAAAAAAATACAGGATTTGCCACACTTCTTAAATAGTTGACTCTATAACATTTTGTTTTGCTCTAATACAAATATTCATGGTTCCGCCGGTACAGTAATACAAGTGAAGCAATAGCGCTCTGTGTAGTACAGGGCCTCGTGTGTGATGGCCAGGCCGCGTTGGAAAGTTATTTTCCAAAGTTGTGGAAAGTTATCTGCCGTAGAAAGTTGCACGAGGGTGCTTAAAACAGAGCAATAATGCTCGTATGTGTTGAAGTAATGGTTCGTTGGGTGACTTGTGAAAGTTCTGCTTTCCTCACGTGATGAGTAATTATTGAGAGAGAGAGAGAGAGAGAGAGAGAGAGAGAGAGAGAGAGAGAGAGAGAGAGAGAGAGAGAGAGAGAGAGAGAGAAAGAGAGAGACAGAGACATAGACAGAGAGGATCAGTGTGTTAGGACACTTCACCGTCTAGATTTAGTCAGGACCTCCACCTGACGCAACAACAACAGCGGTCACTGTACCAGGAGCACCTGACTGGTGTGACGATGTGCCTTAGTAGCACACTGATCTGCCCTTGTGACTCACTGGGACGCTCACACGGGACATGGGACTAGTTTTGGGATACCGTGCATTGTTGGGAATCCAGTGTCATTTAGGAAGATTAGGGACCCCTGAGTCAGTAGACAGATTAGGAAACCCCTGAGGCTGTGGGGAGACTATAGACCTCTGAGTCAGTAAGCAGATAAGGGGACCCTCCAGTCAGTAGAGAGAGATTAGGGACTCCTGATTCAGCAGGGGGATCAAGGGCCGACAAGTCAGAAGGGTGAACAGGGGCCCACGAGTCAGAAGGTGGATTATAGACCCCCTGCGTCAATAGGGGGAATGAAGACCATTGAGTCATTAGGAAGATTAGGGGCACCTGAATCAGTAGAGAGACTAAGGACTCCTGAATCAATAGTGGGCATTAGGGCCGTTGAGTCAGCAGAGAAATCCAAATAAACCATTCCTCTCTTTAGAAACTCCGATGTGATTTATTACTTGTTATTGTATAATATTTCCTAACTGGGGATTAAACACGGAAATATTGGTTAATCCAAGACAATTATCGTCATACTGAGGTACTGTATACTCACTTTATATGCCGTGTGATCAGTGTATATTATACTCACAAGTAAGATGTTAACGAGTTTGAATTGTGTCAATGAGTCAGTAATAGGTCAATGGTGTGTTGACCCATTGCTGAGTCAATGGTGAGTCACTAGCTCTGAAGACCTATTGGCTGTTATATTTTAAGAGTTATATTTTAGTGTCAGAATTGACTCATGAGTTCAAAGTTTGTGCTGAATCGTGAAGTCAGTAATAAGTCAGTAAGTCATAGAGATATCAAAGCTATGAATTATATCATAAAAATGAGTTAGGCACAACCGAACCATGAGTTAAAATCAGAGTTGACTTAGGAGTTAAGAGGATTGTTGAGCCAAAGAGGTAACTCAAAAGCAACGTTGAATCATCACTTAAAGCTAGTGTTGAATTATGTGTCAAAATCATGTGACAATGTTATAGGAAATCATGTAGGCCTGTTTAATTCCAAAAGTTAGGGGAAGCAAGGAACATCGGCACAGATTTAATCATGATTGAGTAAACGATTGAGTTTACTCAATCATCAGACATGATTGAGTAAACGCTAATTTTAACTCATGCCACGTTTGCAACTAACTCTTAATCAAGAGTCATAAATGAGCATGATGTGAGGAGTCATGAGCCACGAGTGAGTCAGCGTCAAGTCCTGCATGAGTCAACATGCAGGAGGATTTAGCGTTATATCAACAATGACTCAGCACTGAACTACAAAAGAGTTGAGTATAGAGGCTGGGGGGTGAGGGGAGTGAGAATGGAAGAATGTAGGGAATTTTGGGTCAATAAAACAAGAATGTATCATACCCGAGAACCATGTCCTTGCCCTTGAAGTCCTTGGAGTAGGCGCCCATCTCGCAGATCGTCCTCTGGAGACACTGTTCGCTCTCGAAGGCGTTGAGATAGATGTAGAAGACGCGCTCGATCTCGTCATGGAGTTGAGCCATGAAGTCAGGCTCTTGGGGTGCGTCGGAGAGGGCTCTCTGGGTGGTGAGTGTGAAGGTGAGAGACGAGAGCAGGAGGAGGACTCCGCCCAAGATCAACAGCGGCAGGATGATGGCAGTGAAGAGGCCGAAGTCGGCGTCGGAGGTCTCAGCGGAGCCGTACTCAGAGACGGGGTAGTAGTAGTAGTAGAGGTTACCTTGCGAGCCCTCGTCGTAAGTTGGGGCTGGGGCTGGTGCTGGGGCTGCGTACGAGGAGGAGGAACCGGTGTCCCGGGCCTGAGCTACGGGGCCCTGGCGCTTCTCTACGGAGGCCGCGCACGCCACACTCACCACAGCTATGAAGACCAACCTGTTCAACATCTGGGGAAACATAAACAAAGGGATCAGAGGACATGAACCAGTAAAGGGAAAATATCCAAACGATTATATTCAGAATATCATTGACAAATTACAAATCCAGGTGCAATGTTGATATATACATGGAGGCAACGTTAAAATATATTATGTCATACTAAAATATTAATATTAATATGGTAACCCAAACGATACCTGCTCCAAAAACAACTGAGAAACAAAATCAAGCTATAGAGGCTTCGACTGAGACGACGATAGATTAAGGAGAGAAATGGGGAGTTGAGATCCAGTTGCTATCACTACAAACAATCCAATACTAAGTGTGACATTTGATGGTAATTGACAGTATTCCAGAAATACTGACGAGGCTGCACCTGACTAAGGATCATCACTATAGGCGATGAGTATTAATCATCACTTTTACTGCTAATAACATAACGACTGACCTGTCACCTTCGCTATTGTGACCCACGACTAGTAGCCAGGGAGAGTGACCACAAGTCACCATCACTCCTATTAATAGGGGTGATGGTGTTTAGCGAGAAGCATCATAACGCTGTATCAATACTGTTTATGATATAGTGATTGACAGGTCACCATGACCAATTCATACCTCAATAATAATGTGGTTACTAAACGGTTACTATAACTGCGCTGAATCACTACTACTAAGCGGCCGGTCACCGCTACACACCGTTGCCGCTCTCCTCAACCTCAAAACACCCGCAAGAAATTCTCTGGGAACTTTACCGTTTACTTAAGGATCCCTCAAGTTAATTTAAGTTTCTATTTACTTGTATACTAATGAACCACTTGATAGTGAATTAGTTAAACAAAATATTAAGTTTATATGATTTGCATAAATAATAAATTATTTTCTTGCACTATTGTATCAGACAATCGATAACTAATGAATAACAATAAACAAGGCGCAGAGGGTAAACACAATTTGTATATCACATCACAATGTACTAACACTGATTAATTGTTGTGATAAGATAATAGGAACACGGAGCGTCGACGGTCCTTCCCCGATGCCGTCCCACACAGAACTGCTTCAAGCGATACTGACTGCATCCCTTATATACCCGCACCCCAGCAAGCACAGGACGGCTCTATGGCGACGTACAGGTAGATACATTTTCCATAACATTAAACAAAATATTGTCCGTGGTAACTCAGAAGCAATGGCAAACAATTAATCGTAAATGCCTTACGTGCCAACATTACTTTAAATCGTCTCATGCTGACTCCATGCTCGCTGTCGTCAGATTAGGAACAAGCATATCTGTAGTGAGATTAAATGTAATTTTGTTTCTTCAGTGTTAATTCCTCCATGTCTCCGTCTATGGCTTGCATTGAGTCATTATTACTTGACCAGAAAAGAAGGTTCCCATAAATAATGCAGTAATTGTACTAGTGTTACAATATTATATATTTGCATTTTTAATGTGCCGTTGCAATTAATTGCAGTTTTCATTCAACGATAGAATATATTATCTAACATGAAGTATTGTTGTTGTTTTAGATTCAGCTACTCTGAACAAAAAGTTCCAAGTAGCACGGGCTATGGTGAGCCCATAGTGAACTTACATGAAGTTGATATGCAGTTCTGAGAGGATATCAGAAGTTGGTCGACAGTAACAGCTTAGTACACTGTAACATGGCTTTGTTATAGTGTACCAAATTTTGTTTACACGTACCAAAAAAAAAAAGTGGTTGACTGCATAAACTTGTAAGACGTTACTTGGCAGTGAACGGCCACAGGACGTAACAGTTACTTATCATCGTAGGGTATCCCACAACACCGTCAACATGTCTCCACGAGAGCATCATGCCCCGTTGGCTGTTCACGTACCATGGCCAGCAGGGGTACAGACACTGTAAACAAGAGCACGTGCCATAGCCAACTGGGCACAGGCACTATAAAAACAAGCAAGACGTGCCATGGCCAACAGGGGTACCGTCACTGTAAACAAGCAGGGCCACTGAAGGAGCACTGTTCCCGAGGCAGGAACGACACAGGGGCAGCAGGACAACTTCCACGAGGTAGAGGTGACTACCTGGGTGACGCCGCTGGGCAACGTGACGCCTGCGTGACGCAGCTAGGCAACGTGACGCCTGCGTGACGCCACTAGGCAACGTGACGCCTGCGTGACGCCGCTAGGCAACACTGGGAGCAATGGACACTACAACCCCCTCAGAAAAAAACACAAAAAACAGTGAGACCGTAAGCAGCCACATGGCGTGTGTTAACGGGCTTCGGGAAGGGACGGGTGAGGCTCTGGGTGAGGCTCCGGGTGAGGCTCTGGGGGTGAATCCCCGCATTTAGCACTGAATCATAACACCGACGACGCCAGATTGGCAGCGTGAGCTCTCATGCAGACCCGTGAGTCCCTCCACTCCCCGGGGACTGACGCTGGCTGAGAAACTGAGGACACCTTGCGGGGCTCATCTTATGCTTCGCGAACGCCTTTCGTGATGTTGCAGGAGGCGATCTTAAGGCATATACGACTGTTACCGGAAATGCCAAGAAGAGGGATCTAGAGATATATTGACATGACTATACGACCTCGGTTAATATTATCAGTAAGGCAAGCGAGCGCATTCTAATTGGGAGTTATATTACATGCTCAGTGGGGAAGTGATCAGACTGATAATTAGAAAGATTATTGAAGCGACTGGTTGATAGGGGGTTGATAATTATTTTCCAAGTAATTAAAATTCGTATATGTAGTAATTTAGGGGGCAACTGCTACTCTGAACTCTTGTCTTAACATTATGAGAGAGAGAGAAATAGACGTTCTGGTCGTGAAGAATTTATCTTACCGAGAAGACTACGAACAAGAAATTTGTAAGAAATGATTTTGAAACAAAAAACACGAACGCTTGCACGGGAAATTAAATTAAGTGATATAATTCAGTGTAATCACGACGCTTGCAACGAAGCTCTTCTCTTTGCAACACTACGGTGACCGACGAATCTTGTTTGTGTTACATGGATAACAGCTGCATCGTAGCGACCCCACCATACGTTTCTTATATCTAAACACACACACATGAATAAGTCCTGGGCACAAGGGTACGGAGATTAAGTCCAAAATTCCCGTTGTGGATCACTTCTTAAGCTGCATCCAAGTCTCCAAGCACTGGTGATGGCAAACACAAGGATATAACACTACACTGGTCCTCCAGAACACTCGTCCTCACCTTGGCTTGCTTGCTCAGTAATGCTACCGCTTGACAGTGGCTGATATTGCACTTGAATGTACGTTTTTTCAATGGCATGTCTTGCTATATAGTCGGTCGTCGGAGGTGGGAGGAGCTTGAGCCGTGACGTCACTCTCTCTGTTATGGTTTCCCACAGGTTGCTATGTCGTGAATTACTGGCATTTATATTATTATTTAACAATGACTTTGTCAGTTATTCTTATGGCAGAATGTTTGGGAAAGACTCGACGATATTACCAGAGATCACATATCAACTTTGAAACAGTAAATATACGATATAAAATAACATAGAAAATATACTATTGAACAGTGTGTGTAATGTTCAACACGGGCCAACACCGTCTATTTTCCCTGCTACCACCTGTTGGTGATCCAATTATATTCTGAACCCCATAAAAGCCCTCAGTTTTATTTAGAAACTAACAATTACATAACACAGTATAATATATATGAAGAAATTGAAGGGTTTCCCTGAGCAAATATAAATGAAGAGACGCCGAATATAACATTGGTATAAGAGCGGTCACTTCGGAAGATCTAGACCAACGCCCGGCCACGCGACTGAGGGAAAAATTGGCCCAAATGTGTTAGAAGGGAAGAGGCTGCCAGTGGACGCCTCTGTGACCCCCGTGCATAAGGGCTATTCCAAGGCAGCCGGGCGAGGCCTCGTGAGTCCCCACAAAAACCTACCCATATGTCTCCCAACCACAAGTGCATATTTAAATGTAAACTTTTATTATGTAGATTTGACCCAGACGACGACGGTGGATTCTGTTTGGAAAGTTCTGGCGCCGAGATTGTGACGAAGTAGAGTTGGTTTTGTTTTCGGCTCAAAATCGAGGATACCGGTTCGATTCCTGGTTGGGACAGAAATGGGTCGGCATATTTCCTTTCACCTAATGCCTCTGTACACCTAACAGTAACTAGGTATCCTGGGGGATGTCAGTAATTCAACCATAGTGGAGACCTCGATACACTCCTAAAGTGCGCGTGTGTGTGTGTAATATATAATACATATTATATATATATATATATATATATATATATATATATATATATATATATATATATATATATATATATATATATATATATTATACTATATTCATAGAGAGGGGTACCTTGAGATGCCCGGGTCTATCTCTCTTCCCGCTTCCCTTCTCTTTCTCTCAAATGATATGGAAAAAGAGAAAAATTTTGAAGAGAAAGACAGAGTAGAGAGAAATGCTAAACAATTTAAACATATTAATAAGATGTGGAAGGAGTAGCTGTGGGAGAGAGAGAGAGAGAGAGAGAGAGAGAGAGAGAGAGAGACTAGCAAAGAGATGGAGAGAGACAGAGCAATAAAAATAGGCTGAGAAGTGGAGATAGAGATAGAGAGGGTAGGGTTGTAAAGATCGAAGATAAAGCTTGTGGCCACAGGGAGGGAGTATGAAGCACAAGGAAACTTTTAGGGATAAGCTTTTCCATGGAGGTTTCATAAAATGCTGCCAATAGGACAAGAAGGTTTCCAGGAAATGCGGTCACTAGAACACGAAAACTTTCAAGATATGCGGTCACTAGGACACGGAAACTTTCAACATATGCGGTCACTAGGACACGGAAACTTTCAAGATATGCGGTCACTAGGACACGGAAACTTTCAAGATATGCGGTCACTAGGACACGGAAACTTTCAAGATATGCGGTCACTAGGACACGGAAACTTTCAAGATATGCGGTCACTAGGACACGGAAACTTTCAAGATATGCGGTCACTAGGACACGGAAACTTTCAAGATATGCGGTCACTAGGACGCGGAAACTTTCAAGATATGCGGTCACTAGGACGCGGAAACTTTCAAGATATGCGGTCACTAGGACACGGAAACTTTCAAGATATGCGGTCACTAGGACACGGAAACTTTCAAGATATGCGGTCACTAGGACACGGAAACTTTCAAGATATGCGGTCACTAGGACACGGAAACTTTCAAGATATGCGGTCACTAGGACACGGAAACTTTCAAGATATGCGGTCACTAGGACTGGTAGATTTCCAAAACATGGACATCTCTGATACGGACAGTTTCCAGGATGGAGGACCAGCTTAGTGGGAGGGAATATGGATGGGAAAAGTGGGAGGGAAAATTTGAGGGAAAATGTAGAGATAAAAATACTGTACAGACAGGGATGTGAGAAAGAGCGTCAGGCGTGTATTTATGTCCGACTTACCAAACTTATTATCCCTTGACGCATCAATTATTTTCCCGTTACTGTTGTAAAACGCACTTTACCCACGCCGGAGATAAAGATATTTGTTATACCTTAATTGGGGTTATAAATGGTGTACACGTAGTGTTCGGTTCCGTAGAAATGTGTGGAAGTGGGGTGAAAGGGGAGAGGAATGTTGGACAGTGTAGGGGGTGTGCTGGAGACGAAGCATCCGGTAATAGGGGAGGCTGAGAATGGGATAATTATAAGGGGCGAAAGTTTTAGTGAGGTTGATAGAGGAGAAGAGTTACTGGAGCGTGGAACTATGAGGATGAGGGTGCGGTGATGCTTCGTGTTTAAAGAGTGTGTGTGTGTGTGAGAGAGAGAGAGAGAGAGAGAGAGAGAGAGAGAGAGAGAGAGAGAGAGAGAGAGAGAGAGAGAGATGCAACCCACAACAGCATGAGAAATATCATCTCATTCACATGGATGATCGGAGATTCGACCTCGGGCCTCAGTATTACAAGACTGTTGTACCAACCAGACTATGGATGCTTACAATTGTTTTTGCTATTCTTTAATTTGGAAAAATAATTGTTTTTATTAATCTTCCTTAAAATCTTATCTATCATTTTAATTTCTCTAATAGATCAGTCCCCACAGCACAAGAACTAGTCTTTCTAGATATTTCTTGATCGTTTAAACTTTGATTTCTGCTTTTGCAGACAGGAGGTGTATACAGTAGCTATGTGAGCTAGTGATGTGTGCATTAAGTAATTATACTCAAATTTAGAATGCATCTGGGGTAACTCTGTATCCTGGGTCGTCCCCAGATGCATTTTTTAATACATGGGGATATATTAAGAAGATCCTGCTCCAAAGATTTTTTTATAAATATATCACATTATTGGGATTTCATTGTGTATGTGTGTGTGTGTGTGTGTGTGTGTGTGTGTGTGTGTGTGTGTGTGTGTGTGTGTGTGTGTGTGTGTGTGTGTGTGTGTGTGTGTGTGGTATGTGTGTGTTTGTGTGTGTGCGAGAGTATATATGTACGTGCATGTGTTTGAAGGTCCACATTGTGTATTTTTTAAACCCTAAAATTCCATATGCTCTACAAAAGACTTTATGGGTCGCTCTCCCCCATCTTCCCCAGACGCTACTCCCCCCCGAGCTGGTCCCATCATCAACATCATCAACTACGGACGTCCTAAGACTAAGGCTATGATAATTGTTGTGTTTGTCGCTAGACTTTCTCTCTTAATTATAGCCTAATTAACCGATTTTCCGGATGCTGGAGATTCTCTCTGGGGGGAAGTAGCATCATCTGCTGTAACATCAGATTGTGAGTCACTGATTACTGGTATTTGTGCCTAATAATCTGTCTTACTTTTAACAATGCTGGGTACAAGAGCAGACGAGTTATGATTCGTTTTAGCAGACTGAGAACTTTCCTTTCCCATAGCTCATGGCGAGCTTTACCCTCTATGATTTCCCTGGAACACGACTCGCCAATTGGTTAACAACCCAGTGGGTGAATAGTTAAGGATTGGTGCCCAGTTAATCCTCCCTAGCCAAGACTCGAACCCAGACCAGATCTCTGGCGAGGCGCGGGGCAAGTATGTTACCCCCCGCCCTCTCTCTTTTTTTTTCTCTCTCTCTCTCTCTCTCTCTCTCTCTCTCTCTCTCTCTCTCTCTCTCTCTCTCTCTCTCTCTCTCTCTCTCTCTCTCTCTCTCTCTCTCTCTCTCTCTCTCTCTCTCTCTCTCTCTCTCTCTCTCTCTCTCTCTCTCTCTCTCTCTCTTGGTAATGCTACTCTAATACTCATACATATGCTTAGTATTGAGTCATATCATCCTCATATTCCTGGTGAAGCATTAGGTAGGTGACTAGGTAAAGTCATGTACAGAATGATAACCAAGATTACTGTCATATTCGTGTTATTTTTATTTCAATACGTGTTCGTGTTATTTTGATATCAGTCCATGTTTCTGATCATACTCATCTCACGTGAGTATGAGGTTTTAATCATTACTCGTCATCCTTATACACATTGCGTTTCTCGTGCTCATGCTTTATCACAGTGGAAATTGGGACAGTTGCCAATTTAGGTCCATGTGCGACTCGCTTTATATGTGCGCCTGGCGACATCTCGCATCAACTGTGGGTATCATAACAAACACAAACAAACATTATCACCTTTTCTATCCCATGATGTGCACTCACCAGATGCACTCACCAAGATGTACTCGCCAATGTGTACTCATCAAGATGTAGTCACCAAGATGTAGTCATCAAGATGTAGTCACCAAGTGTAGAGTGATGAATGCAAAATTCAATAGCTTTGTAATATAAACACACGCGAAACATTCGGCTCACGGAGTGCGTTGCATAAGGGTTAGTGAAAGACGTTCACACGTTCGTAAATATTGGGGCAGCTGAGTGTGTCGACTCCTGCTTAAGTGATTGTTGAGATGACGTCTGGTAGGGATTGTTGGGGTCTGGCAAACGGGGCTGCGCTTTTAAGCGCAGCCCCGGTTAATTCCTCTGCAATTAATATAAAAAATTTAAGTGATAATGATGTAGACATATTTGAAGTGTTACTGTATATTAATGGCTCGCCATTTATTATACATACATTTATACATTCTAATAGTGAAATATTTGTCATTTATTTTGTTAAAATGTTAATGATTTACCTAATTAACCATTGCTGCTAATTTTTTCCTTGCCGAATCGACCTATTTTTAGTCCAGATGGCTTTCCTGATTTCTCCCCCATTAAAAGACTTTGTTATGAAGATTTACCATTTTCCCCGTACGTAATGAGGGAATGTAACGTTCGTT